TCCAATGCAGGAGATGCAGGTTATGTCCCTGGGTCAGGAAGATCCCCTGGAGAAGGAAATGGCAACCCACTCCAGTATTCTCGCCTGGGAAATTCAATGGACAGAGAAACCTGGCGGGCCACAGTCCATAGTGTCACAAAGAGTCGGATAAGACTTAGTGACCAAAAAACAACAACAAAAAACCATCTATTGTCTATCCCAGATCATGATTTCAAAAAGTCATTGAAGGTAGGTATCAGGTACAGGATAAATCTTTTTTTTTCTTAAGAAAAACTAGAGAAAGGCAGGGACAACAGAATTAAGTTATCACACATCCAGTTGGAAATTAGTTAAAACAGAATATGTGATTTAGATAAGTAATCCAAAGAAAAATAATGGTGGGCATATTTGTTCATACACAGTCACCTTTTTTAAGAGAAAATAATGTTCCAATGGGCTTCCCTGGTAGCTCAGTTGGTAAAGAACCTGCCTGCAATGCTGGAAACCATGGTTCGATTCCTGGGTCAGGAAGATCCCCTGGAGAAGGGATAGGCCACTCACTATAGTATTCTTGGGCTTCCCTGGTGGCTCAGCTGGTAAAGAATCCGCCTGCAATGCAGGAGACCTGGGTTTGATTCCTGGGTTGGGAAGATCCCCTGGAGAAGGGAACGGCTACCTACTCCAGTGTTCTGGCCTGGAGAATTCCATGGACTGTATAGCCCATGGGGTTGCAAAGAGTCAGACACAACTGAATAACTTTCACTTTACACAGCTTCCTTTTATATGAAGAGAAAACAGCAATAGTTCACTTGGGTGTAAAGAGAATAATGGGTGTAAGGATTCTTGTGTCTCAGCTGCACCACTTCTGGCTAACGTCACTTTTTAGTCACTTTTTAAGGAAGTAAAATTATCATTTGAATTGACAGGCAAATCAGATAGATGGGATCTCTTCCTTTCAAGAAAGCCTGAAACCATGGTGAATTTCAGAAGACTTGCAGAATGTCTTGCCCATAGCAAATGAGTTCATTTCTTTTATCTCAGACTTAATTGAGCCATCTCCTTTTCTCTTCACTTCAGCAGTGTCTAGCATATTATACTATATCAGAGTGCTGTTTTAACTTTGACTATGTCTTTCCTTATTTTGAAACATTTGTCTTTTTTAAATGTTTCTGTCATTTCTTTGGACCAACTTCAGACAAACCATGAAATCTAGGACTAATAATGCAAAAAGGATTTTTATGGACATCTGTGGGAATTACCTTGGATTGGGAAATAGAAGTATTAATGCTAAAGAATTGTGATTAACTAAGTTAGAAATCCCTTAACCACTGGCAGTACTATTTTAGCAGGCAGTGCATTGGTGAAGTAGGGATGACGGCTGGCCAAGTTCCCAGTGTACACAGTCGGGACTCAATACATGTTTTCTTGTTGAACAAATGAGGGTTTTTTTGGTGGGAGGAGGTTTATGGTCACTAGTATTGTTGGAGTCAGGAACATTTTGGAGTTGCCTGTAACATTGGTGGGTCAGACCATAAAGAATCTGCCTGCAATGCAGGAGACCCAAGTTCGATCCCTAGGTTGGGAAGATCCCTGGAGAAGGGAATGGCTACCCACTCCAGTATTCTTGCCTGAGGAGCCTGGCAGGCTGCACTCCATGGGGTCACAAAGAGTCGGACATGACTGAGCACCTAACACTTTCACATGTTATAGCTACATATAGCATATGATTGCTGGTTTGGTACATTAAAACAGAGTATATCAGTCGGCTATTGCTATGTAACAAAATAATTGGAAAATTCTCAAGGTATGTATTTGTCATTCATGCATCTATTGTTTGACTGGAGTTGTGCTGGAGCTCAACTAGCACAACTCCTAGTTGTGGGTTGAGGTCAAGTCTGTTTCACATGTCTCCCATCCTCCTTGGGTCAGCACACCACTGGGTCCTGTACTTCTTATGGCACATAAGCACAAGAAAGCAAGCGCAATCACCCAAAGACATTACAAGCTTCTGCTTATGTCATATTTGTTAAACTCCATTGGCCAAAACAGGGCATATGACTGTGTCCAAATTCCTGGGCCAGGGAAGCACGTGCCCTCCAGTACTTGGTCACTTTACTTTGTATGGCCTAGTCAATTTCCTGGTCTTCTTGGAACAACCCAATCGCACTCTCCCCTCAGAGTCTCTGCATTTGCTATTCTCTCTGTCTGATGCACTCTTCCTTCAATTAACTACATGGCTCTAAGTCTTCTTTCTAGTAACTACAGACCTTTAAGTCCCTAACATTTTAGCTCACCTGCCCCTTATTAATGAGGTCTTCTTAGACTCCCCTTTCTGCAGAGTCTTCCTCACTGCCCTTCCCTGGCCCTCTTTTCTGAGGCCTGTATTCCTCCATAAGAATGTCTCCATGGAGACCAAGCTTTTTAGTTGTGTATTGCTATAATCCCAGTACTCAGAACCCAGGGTCCCCAACCGCTAGGACCTCATGCCTGATGATATGAGGTGCAGCTGATGTAATAAAACTAGAAATAAAGTGCACAATAAATGTAGTGCGCTTGAATCATGTAGAAACCATCGCCCCCGCCTTGGTCCGTGGAAAAATTGTCCTCCACGAAATTGGTCGCTGGTGCCAAAAAGGTCGGAGAATGCTGCTCAGAGCAGTTGCCTGCCACATAGTTGGCTTTTGAGAAACATTTGAATTTATAAATAAATCTGTTTTGAAATTTTTTTAACATTTAAAATCTGGCTCAGTGTTGAATAGTCCAGTGGCATTACTTTAATTTCAGGTGTCATTTAGCTGTTTTCACTTTTCCAGTATAATCTGACAGAAAATATTAGGCTGTAAACATTTTTCAGTGGTTGATTCACCTCTGCTCATGCATATATATAATTCTGATTTTGATTCTTAAAGGAATTTAGTTAAACCCAAAGGAGTTTCTACTTACTGTGAAAATCTTAAGAACAGATTATATTTTACTTGTTTATGTTTACACCTAGGATGTAATAGGCCTTCAAAAACTGAATAGACACATTGATCACTGCCATGAAAGTTTCCACTGAAACCAAGAAGCCAAGTTTACATTCCTACTCAGACACATATCTTTGAGACTCATAGATGATAGTTATGACTGGTTGACATCATTAGGTTTATACTATTTTTTGATCCTTGAAGTAATTCAGGGAGAAGAATGTCAGTCACTTCATTGAACTGCACGTAAACCTTAATCACAGTCCAGTGGAGTTCCTAGAGCTCCAGTGTGAGGTAATTAAACTGTCAGAAATATTAACATTGCTGCTCATGAATGTCTCTGTTGGTTCTGACTTATTCTGTAATGTGTACAATCACTAAAGTTGACTTGATGCCATGAAAAATGCCTTGTGTTCCCCAAATCAGCAAAATTTTGCAATTGGTAATGGAACCAAGAGATATAATCAACCCTGCAGCTGTCAGCATCCTGTTCCTTCTGGCAATATTTCATTCATTCTGTCTATTTCAGATGATGGTAGTCTAAAAGCATAGGCAAGAAGAAACTACAGATGCTGACTTTCATTCTTTGATTTTTAAAGGCATGAATATGAGCAAGTAGTTTGTGCGTATGGATGGATAAATATTCTAACTTCCTTTTCCACCTTATGACCTGAATTCTTTAGCAATCATTTCCTGTCCTTAGTACTTCAAAGAGGTTTCCTATGGTTTGTTACCAGGAGACTCACTTAATCAGAGGGGTTTTTGTTTCTCTCAGGTCCTTAGCCCTCCTTTCTAATAACGGTATACAGCCTCACATTCACCTTGCCTATGATTTTATCTCAGTGGTGAGCATTGCCAATGATTCTTTCAGCTTCTGTTTTAAGAAAGAAAAGGCGAAAACTTGGTAATAAATGCAGGGTTATAATCAGAGATGAAATTCCAAGTGGCATAGACCGAAGGAAATGACAAGCATATTTAAGTCATTACATCACTGGCTCCCTTTTAAAGTCAGATGTGAACCTGAGGTTGTCCTTAAGTGTGTCCATTATTGTTGATTTCCTGAAACAAGGTCTTGTTTTAAATAGAAGTGACAATGTACTGAACAAACAGAACTCAAAAAACACGTTATTTTCACAGTTGGAAGATTGAATGTTATGAAAAATGACTTTCAGAGACCTTCAAAGTTCAAAATAATTTTGTTTGCTCTTAAGAAATTTCTCCCTTACTGCAAATGCTATTTGAGGTGTATTTCCTTGACACACGAATAAACAATAGAGACACAGATCAACAAACTTTACAAGGAGACTCCCATCCCCAGAAGACCATCCATGCCTAACCTCCTTTCCTTGCAGATCATCTTTCTTTCTTTGCAGAAACAAATTCTCAAAAATTAAAAACAAGTTTTCCTTTGTAAGCCTACAAAAACATAGTTATGAAGTAACCCCATGTAACAAAGAGGAAAGGAACATAACTTCCCAGTATCTCCATATGTACAGTCCTTAAAATACCAATATTTCATTACCTTTATAGATCACATGAAACTCTTTATTTCTCCCTGTTAAACTGGACTTCAAAGGTACTTGAGTTTTGTTTGTATTTTTTTGTTAAATGTCAAAGGAAAGAGTGGAAAAAATACATCAATGTCCCCACTCCTTACATTCATAATGTGAATTCAAAATGTCACATTCTTCTTTTGTGCTGAAGAGACACACTGCAAGTGTGCACTAATCCTTTTTTATTACAAAGAACAGCATTTCAAATTTGTTAATGGGACATAAGCAACTTATGGCAACTTTATCTTAACTTCTAAGCAGGTACACAGTTTTCTTTTCCAAAGATAATGATGTACATAAATCCCTGCATGAAATTCTTCATCCCTTGAAGGAACTGCTCCCTAATTAGTTAGCTTGAGAGGTTATTTTTATTTCTGTTATTTATGAACAAGTGGCAAAGAGTTTATGATGGATTTTAAAATGCTATCATGAACCTTTTCTCCAGTCTCACAGTTTTTTCCTAAAGTGTAATTTGCCATTATTTGTGTTTGCTTTCATTTAGGCGAGGAAGACCTTCTCAGTCCTCCCCAGGACTCAAGCACAGGGTTAGAGGAAGTGATGGAGCAACTCAACAACTCCTTCCCTAGTTCAAGAGGTAAGTGCCATGACTCGGAAGTCACTCAGACTCACCGGAAGTAGACTGCTCACTGCCGTACACAACTGGCATGTGTAGTTTCCATGTTAACATAAACAAGTGCTGACAGAATGCCAATTTGGGATCATTGTGAGAAGAATTTCCTTTCGAATGTGAATTTCTGACTTGGAGTGTTTTGAATTCAAATAGCCTGTTTCCGGAAATAAGAATACTAACTTAACATTCATAAGGTTGTCTTCCTTGCTTGGCACATTAGTCTGAAGAGTTAATTATGAGATAGCTTTTACTATGGAGCAATTATTAAGTGAGATTTACAGATGAGGAAATGAATGCCTTGATGGTGCCTTTACCAGGGACATACAGCTACCAAGTGATACAGCAAAGTGCAGAATATGCCTAGTGTACAGTAGCGGTGGGCACTTGAGCTTGCAATCTGATGCCCTTTATGTATATTTTAAAACTGTATCTTACCCCTTCATTTAAATGTAAGTACAGTTAAATATATATGTACTAGTTTGTTATTTTTTTTCACTTCCTTAGATAGAATGCAATTTTCCCAAAGAAAGGCATTAGTTTCTTGGACTATTTTTCTTGGTTCATTGCTCTAACATAAAACAAAGTCACTGACCCGCTCCCCCTTCAGTGAATAAAAAGAATGGCAGAGAGCATGTGGACAAGAGTCAATAATATTGTATTGCAAATGTGAAAATTGCTGAGAGTGAAAATCTTAGGAGTTCTCATCACAAGAGAAAAACCTGTAACTTTGTTTGGTGACAGATGGTACATAGCCCTATTAGGGTGATCATTTCGCAATGCATACAAATGTCAAATCACTAGGTTATACACCTGATACTAATATAATGTCATATGTCAGTTATACTTCAATTAAAAAAAAAAACATAATGGCAGCAGTCACCTGTGAGCAAATAGAAGGAAATTCTAGAGAAGCCAAGGGGAGAAAGCATAAGGCTCTGTGGCCAGTGATTAGGACCCCTAACGGGCAGCCAAGGACGGAAGGGCAACAGACAATGGGGCTATTTGTTCCTCTCCATAAGGGCAATGAGGAGGGTGTTTGCAGCCCTATGTTTTTCCTATCTTTTTGTTCAGTGTCAGTTAACAATGGCCATTTCCCAGCTCTTTGATGTGCGAGTGAGTGTTGTGCAAGGCACATTAAAAGCAATAACATTTTGATAGAGCGTTGCTAAGGAACCGTAAGGGGAAGCTAATTTTAAATGTCTGCACCAGCCATCTTTTCACTGCTGAGTGCCTCTGATGTGTTGATTTTAAGAGATAAAATTCTTGTGTCTTCCACCCACCTCCTTATCCCCCACCTGGCCAGTCTCTTCTCCATCCTGCCTTCACTGACTCCTTAGATGCCCTGATTCATAACAAGAAGACAACATGCTGGTCTGACCAAAATTAAATGCATCCACCTTTATCCTGCCTCCTGTCGCTAGCTCCTACTATGTGCCAGCGAGGTGTTAGGATGCAAAGGAGAAATGCCAAGTTCTTGCCATCAAGGTGCTTATGGTCAGCTGGGGACACAGCCCTCCAAGACGTTCAAATCATGGCACAATTAACTGTATTACTCCTATGATGGAGACATCTGCGCCATGAGAGAACCCTAGAAACCCCCTTCGAAATAAACAGGAGGGTGTCAGCCTCAGGCAGAGCAAGGGTCTTCCTCAAGATCACACAGCTCCTCATGGGCCCAGTGCTGTGGATCCCAACTCTCACACACATTTCACTGACCCCCAGCTTTCTCTGGCAGGTCACAGACCTGCGTCTCATCCCCAGTCCTTGACCTCAAAGCTTGTTTGTGGATTCTGTGGGAAGTTAGTGGTCACCTCGGGCATTTCTTTCACATCCAAACCACTAGAGTAGATCCAAGGAGAGACTGGAGCAGGGTGCAGGGCTCTGCTCCCCCAGTGGCAGCCTTTTCATACCCATACCGGATCCCTGGCCATCCTGATTATCTTAAGGTGAGAGCTAGGCATCCTCTCCCTGTATCCCCCTCTTAAAGTCTTTGTGGCTAAACAGCACAGGAGTGTGAAAGACCAGAAGTACACCTCCTCTGATAGGGTATTTGGCAGTCAGCCTCTGATCTTGCAGTCACTTGTATGATGGTAATTTACTTACATGGAAACCTGGGAAACTCTCTTCAGGCCGCCTGGTTAGTGTTTACTAACAGTGCTTATGGAAGCATTTCATCCCCTGAGTGCTAATTGGACTTCTCAAATAGGGCATAAGCAGGCTTTGTCAGAAACCAATTCCATTAACCAAGTTCCTACTTATTCAACAGTACCCTGGTGGCCTGAGAGAATTCTTTCATTGTCCTGAAGCAAACACAATGAAATCAACAAACAAACACAGAACAAGAGAGTAGATAAGGTGCTGGAAGAGCAGACTGGTCTCTCCGTGATTTGATGACCCTGACATTTTTTTTTGTTGTTAATTCCTACCAAATTATACCTTATTATAGGCCCTTTATGATTTTGCACCCCATTGCAATGTGTAGGTTCTTTTTCCCACACTGCCAAACAGTTCTCATATAACAGCAGGTATATGCTGCTGGTATATGCAGCAGATAGATGCTCCAGGTCAGCTCAGTTCTGACTCTTACCTACCCAGAGACAGGATCAGAGTCCACAGGTTAAGGTCTCAGTCCCACAAGGCAGCCTCTCCTCTCCTCACTTCAGAATGCCAATTTTAAGTCTGGGTTGTCTGCTGGGTTTCTGACCCACTGGCTATACACTAGAGATTCCAACAACCTGCTCTTTGGGTCAATTAATTTGCCAGAGCAGCACACAGAACTCAGAAACATTTTCTTTACTAGATCATGGGTATGTGATAGAAAGATATAATCAGGAGAGATGCATAGAGAAAGGCATGGGGAAAGGGGGTGGAGCTTCCACGGCCTCCCTGAGCTCACCACTCTCCCCACTTTGTCTCCACACAATCACCAGCCAGGAAGCTCTCCAAACCCTATTCTTTCTGGTTTATGTGGAGGCTTCATTACATAGGTATGACTGATTAAATCATTAACCACTGGTGATTTAAGTTAACCTCCAGCCCCTCCCCTCTGGGCTCCCTAGAAGCTCAGTAGTAAAGAATCTGCTTGCAGTGCATGAGCCACAGGTTCGATCCCTGGGTTGGGAAGATCCCCTGGAAGAGGGCATGGCAACCCACTCCAGTATGCTTGCCTGGAGAATTCCATGGACAAAGGAGCCTGGTGGGCTAAAGTCTGTGGGGTTGCAAACAGCTGGACACAACTGAAGTGACTGAGCACACAGACATGTCCTCTCCTCTTCCTAGAGGTCAGGGGGTAGGACTCAAAGTTCCAACCCTCTCATCACTTGATTGGCTCCCCTAGCAACCAGCATCCATCCAAAAGTCACCTCAATAGCACATAACAAAAGACACTTTGCTGCTGCTGACCACAGGAAATTCCAAGGGTTTTAAGAGTATTGTGCCTTGAAGAGGGATGAAGACTAAATATATATTTCCTGTTATATGTGACAATATCACACCTATCTGTCCATAAATTTAAATGGATAAAATGTCTTCTCATTGTAAAAAGGCTGATGATCAATGCACTCTAAAAAGTGGTTTTTCAAGCATCTAAATCCCAGATAGGTGGGAACCAGAAGGTTGATGATGCTGACTCCCAATTACCTCATCACCAACCAATCAGAAGAATGTCCATGAGCTTATCACAAACACAACCCCCCTCCCTCACCCTGTGTTTATAAACCTTTCGCTGAAAGCCTTAGAGTTCAGGTCTTTTAAGCACTAGTTACCCTGGACTCCTGGCTTGGCTCCCTGCAATAAAGCAATTCTTTTCTACTTCACCCAAAAAAAAAAATTATAAAAGTGGATTTTTGGATACTTTATTTCTAACTAAAGGCATTTTTTAATTTTCAAAGAATGGATAATATATACATACACATACATATATGTGTGTGTGTGTGTGTGTGTGTGTGTGTATAGTAGGATGTAGTGGGACTATATTAACAATTGGTAGATACATTGATATTAAGCCAAAAATCTTGATATTGTTAATGTCTCAGGATTAGAGACTCTCCCAAATTGGAAAGGCCTTGAAAGGTCCTTTTAGCATCTTTGATGGTCAAAACAGTGGCTTTTGATCTTTTCTGATCATTATCCACAATAAGAGAAAATATTACATCTCAGACTGGGGTAAAGATACAAGTTATTTGTGTGTGTATGTACACACATATATGTATGTACCCACTGTGTATATAGCAAACATATATTTATATACTCACATATACACACAAAGATCAGAAACAAAAGTTTCATGACAATACTTTCTTTACTACATACAGCCACACTGTTTCTGTTTTATGTATTTAAAAATAAAATGCTTGTTGCAACCCACTATATTGATTTCTGATCCAGTGGTTTAAAAACACTCTTCCCTAGCAGTTGAAAACCTTCATACTGTTATCTCTGCTTCACTAATAACAAAGGAACTGGTGACTCAACCAAGGGCAGGAAGCTGAAATAGTTTGCGTAGAATCAGGATTCAAACTCTAGTTCTTTTAGTTCCACATACTGTGATCCATAATCGAGCACACTATTCCCCACACTTATTTTAAAAATCTGTAAAATGAAAATACAGGTACTATATTTATTGAAAACAATCTGTGTGTAAGTGGACCCACACAGTTCAGACCCATGTTGTTTAAAGGTCAACTGCAGTCTTTTATTAATAAGGAAACAAGCAAGATCCATGCATTGAAAAAATTAGAACAGACATACAAAATTAAATGTTGCATTTTCACCAGGAAAAAAAAGATACTGCTGTAACTGATCTCAGCTTTCCTGACCCAGGTGAATATATTTTTTTTTTAAATGATGTTTTAAGAGTTTCACCATGGAAGTTTCTGCCAAACCCTGGCTAGTGTCTTAGAGAACACTGGATTTTTCATCTAAGTCTGCCATCCACGTTCCCATTGGTGTATTACAAAAAGTGG